ATATATATATATATATATATATATTTTGAATATCTCGTTCAAATATTTCTTTATTTTTCAGTGCACCCTCTTAAAAACACAATTGTGTTGATGACCAACGTACTCAACGTATGAAACCCTCACCCACAATAGACAAAGTCTGCCACATCATCATCATGGCTCTCGATGTCAAAAGTTCGCATAAGCTCCGTATGCTCACTGACAGATTTCTTGACCAGCGAAACTATCCACTGGCGCACAAGGTGCACAACTGAGTGTCAGGAAAACAAAGCCTTTCAAGCCACATACCCACCATTGATTTACACGATTGAACGATTATCATTGGCTAGGGAGGGATGTATTAGTTTTCGTGACTGATAACCTTTAATAAGGTAACAAAGATAAAGAGAGAAAAAGAGAGAAAAGTGAGCGGCCAAGTAACTCCTGTGGGAATAAAAATAACGAACAATCCTTGTTTTTCAAGAAAACAAAGGGGGACAACCTTGAGATATCATCATCCAATAGACCAGCCCAAGGTAACGCATATTTGTTTAATTCTAATTTGCCCATAYCTACCCCAGACCTGGACACCAAATATATCCCGAGCAAAAAACTGTCTCGTATTCACTTTAAACAAGATTTCCAAATATCTCGATGTCCAYTGGACGACCAAAGATCACAAGACTTGGACTGTTCGGATTAGTTACACAAGAAAAACACAAAAAAGAAAAAGTGGTATTTATTCCTCCTTCTCGCCTGCATCCCTCCTCTTCCTCCTCACCTCCATCCCTTCTTCCAGTCACCGCCTCCATCCTTCATCCTTGCCCCCATCCCTCCTCCTCACCTCGATCCCAGTCCCTCTTCCCACTCCCAACTTACTTCCATCCTCCTCCCCCTACTGAAGGATGAACCGACCACTTTGTTGGGAGGGGGGAAAAAAGCCTAAAAGAATCCTGCTTTTCTCGTCACATCCATCCGTTCTCGTAATCTCCATCCCTCTTTCTTTTCCTCCTCCTCGCCTGCATCCCTACTCCTTTCCTTACTTTCAACTCTCCTCCTTCCCAGCCGTGACGACAATTCTGTGAGCACTGACACACTCGCCCACCTCCATCTCTCTGTCACTCATCGAATGAATCCCTTCTCCTCTTTTACTACATCCCTTCTCCTCCTCGACTCCACTTGTCCTTCTCGACTCCATCCCTTCTCCTCGACTCCTTCCCTTCTGCTTGACTCCTTCCCTCCTCCTCTGCCTTGACTCCATCCCTCCTGGTATATGCAGTAGACCTTCCATGATGACGAAGGAAATGAACCTTCAATAGCCCTGGGGAGATAGAACACGGAAGGTTGGAGAGGGTTGGTAGGACTTGCTACCCCCATCCATTGATTGAGCAGGCACCTCGTCCCCTGTCCATCCCTCCGCCACTCCTCATCGACCCAATCGACCGTGATCGACTCCATCCCTCCTCCTTGAACCAATCCATCCTCCCGAAGATTCATTCTCTTTCCTCATCTGGTTAGTAGTCGAGCTAGGCCCTCAGTACCCAGAAGACGAAAGAATATGTGTATCTTTCCATGTTCCCCATGAAGACTCATTCTCATTCGCCTCATTTGGTGACTAGCAGAGCGAGTTTATTATGCAGTTGTATTTGAACATTTTATTCGGAAGATTCAAGTTGCATTGTTATGGGTCATCCAGAGACAAAGGAACCAACGGAAAGGCATTCGACTATCTCTTCAATTCAGCAGGTGCAACAACGTATAATAAAGTAGGCTTTAAGGAACTGCATCCTGCTAGACAAGCGGCGAAAGTTGGGTCGCATATTTCTTTGATTAAAGGATAGCAATGGCTCCTGCAATATTGGGTCTGCGGGGGTGGAGCTCCGCCTATTAGATTTGCACGAGTCTCATCGACCCCTTCTTATTCTTCTATTTTTTTCGGCACTGGCCCATAAAAAARGTCTGGTCCCAAAAACGCAAATCCACCGCAGCGGTAGGGTTTTGCTATGTATGTGTATTTAAACATTCCTGTGTCATCCCCTCCCACCGAGCGACAAAAAACAAGTTTAATAAAGATAGACAAAAAACAAGTTTAATAAAGATATAGTGTTGTACCTTTCCATGTCCTAGCTGAAGATTCAATCTCATTTTGCCCTTCTCGTCAATGGTCGAGCAACGCCCTCACTGCGYAAAAGACGAAGTATACGACCCTTTTTTTTATGTATATACAACTATATCGTAATTACTAATTTGAGAATTCACCTTATTTTCGGCAATCCCTTATGCTCTCAAATTCTTTCATTTTTAAAGACCTACCTACCATTATTCTTAAGGTTATCCCCGCAAGCATAGGTGTCTCTCTCTCTCTTGGTGAAGGGACGTTACCTCTCTCGGTAGGGGGAGGTAATTGCATGTTTACCCCTTGCCTTGACAATTAAGGGTGTTGGTTGGGACGGCTGGTAGGGGGGCCTGATAAAAGATTCAATGCCATGTTTGCCAGTAGCTGGGCCTCTGATTTCATCTTCCTACACTGCCATGTTCGCCAATAGATATGCCTCCCTTTTCATCTTCCCCCACCCCCATCAAGTAACGACAGTCACAATGTCTAAGCCCAATACTCTCCCAAACACCCATGCAACCCACTCCTCTCGCACTCACACCCATGTTGGTTGAAGACTCTACTCATACTGGCTGGGAGGATCCAACTAACAGATGCTGACTATCTCAATTGGTTAGCATCAAGCGTACCGCAGACGGCCATGCGGAATGAACCCACGCCCACCTGAATGCCAACTCAATGCCTAACCAATTGAGCTAAGTCACTGGATAAAGATAAAGAATATACCAATGGGTGTGCACAACCCCTTAGGGGTATCATGATATACTATCATGAGAACTGCCATTTGATACTGACGCAGTTGTTAGTGCGTGCTGCAACTTCCTGCGCTGATAATGGTTTCGTGGAATCTGTTTTCACAGCATTTTACTTGCGCCGTGACCACCGTCGGTGCACGGCAAAACACATGCAAGGAACCATCAATGACGTCACAAAATTTGCAGCAGCGAAAGACAAAGCAAAGCCAACACTCTTAAACAAAGTTTAAAGCAGACTGCAGCATAACTTGTGATCAATCCGATCGCCATTCTTGTACCCATACACAGAGCTGACTGCAGCACATCATAACAGGTCCTCCATAGGACACAGCCAACTCAAATCAATAACCACCTCCCGATTCCTTTCGAACAGATGAAACTCGAAGGGTGCCACAGTGCCAATGGTTCGTGATTTAGAGAATTTTAACTATTACTACTTGGGCGATTTCCCTGGCGCTCGGGTCCCCAGACCTTGCCTGGGATGGCGCCCGGGTACCCGGCCGTGCATGACACCCAGGCCCCCAGGCGCTGTTAGTGCATAGGAAAGAAAAAACGAAAAACGGTACGGCGCAGGCTTTGGGCACGGTTGGGGCTCCGTGGGGCCTGCAGACCCCGCAAAAAAAAATGCGTGGAGGCCCTACCGGCCCCATGCTTGTGAATAACAAAGGGCGATTTCAGGCCCTCGATCTGCAAGATTGAGGGCCCGAAGTCGCCCTTTTTTTCCTCGTCTCTCAACTTCACCCGCACGATTTTGCATGGGCATTCCACTTTGAATCGGGCCGCGATTCCTGGACGGCATCCCGTTGCAGAGACCCCCCCGCCACTCATCGCAGCCCTTCACCCTTTGCCCTTCACACGCTGCCTGTCACCATCGCTCAACATATGAGTGTGTGTGTGTGTGTGTGTGTGTGTGTGTGCGTGTGTGTGTGTGTGTGTGTGTGTGTGTGTGCGTGTGTGTGTGTGTGTGTGTGTGTGTGT